AGTATTCTATTTTTGCTCTTGAGGGAAATATCCGACTTACAGATCGTGATTCTTATTTTAGCTCGAAGTGCCTGGTCATGAGCAATAACGCCACCAATGGAAATCAGTGACATTAGCGAAGAAGAATCAACGAAACACTTAATTGAGAAGCGTAAGATCGATGAAGAAATGGCAAAAGAATTATATCAATTGGTTGGTGGACGTATTTTAGAGTTGAAGACTATTGCAAATGGTATTTTAGCTGGACGATCCATTGAAAGGTAGGAATTAGTTTTATTATTTTGCAATCGAATTTCTAATTTAACAATAAATATTAATAGACATTTTTCTTAATACTGATTGCTTTTTATTTTACTATATAAAGATTCGAATTTGCAAATATATTCCAACTGTATGATTTGCCAATTGAACAGCTTTTAATCTGTGAAAAATTGGTTATTTTGATCAGATTTTTTTTACGTACTGGTGTCTAAACGTCTAGTAAATTTTAATGTCTTTAAAAAAAATTTTTTAAAACTAAAATATGTCTCTATCTAAGAAAGTTTTAACTAAATACATTAATTCTTCTGACTTTTATGAACCTAGACCTTAAAAGAAACAAACAAGTAATATTATGTGTTCAACTTCATAATTTATTTTATCCAAAACTTTTTCACTGAATATCAATAGCAAATGTTTCTTAATTTCCTTCTCAATGAGAACAAAAAAAATATTATTCAATTCTCTTAACCTTAACAATAGCAAAATATTCATCTTTAATTTATATATTAAGATATTTTATATCAAAATATTTCTTAAGAGTAATATGTTTAGCAGTAATATAAAATTAACCTTAATTATATAATTTATCTTTTAATTTATCTGAATTAGAAGATTATGGTGAAACTAATTTGCTAGTAAATTTGTAATAAATATTTGAATTAAAATGCAAAAATTTATTAAATATTACTAAAGATGATAATATATATAATAATATGAAAAAACAAATATTTTTAAATGATTTACTGTCAAAAATAAGACAATAATAATCAGAATCAAAGATTTTAATAAAAAATTTAAAGATTAAAAAAAAGAAATCAAAATCTTATTTAATTATCTTCAAGAAATTTTTATTTTAGTCTAAAGAAAATAAGACTAAATTTTATAATAATATAGGATCTTTGTAATAGAAAAGGATAAATAGTTGAAAAAAATAAAAAATAAGTTAATATTAAATCTAAATATATTTTGATCTAAAACACATATTTGATATATAAAAACAAAATTGATTTTTACTAGCTATTTTCTTCTTTTTTATTGCAAAAGTTTTATATAATCAAAAATATTTTATTAAATAAAAAAGCAAATATAATAAAAGGTATTTTATTTTAGTTAATATTAATTTACTTTAAATTTATTTTATTTATTTTAGATAAGCTTTTATGTTTAATTAAAAATATAATAACATTAAAAAATATAATAATTTATTTGATATAAAATGAAAAATTAGTATTAATATGATCAATTAGATGTAATTTTGATATATATAAAAATATAACCTATTATTTTTAATAAATAAATTAACAGATATAAATATTATTGAAAAAATTAAAATTAAAAAAGAAAGTGATAAAAAACAAAAAATTAAAATAATATTAAAATTATATTAACAGTAATAATTGAATAAAATCAATTATTTAAAAAAAATTTGTTAACAAAAAGTAATGCTAAAAAAAGAAAATTAGTAAAAAGTTATAAATTAGAGAAAGAATGATTTAAAATAAAAAAGAAAAATAGACATATGAAAAAGAAAAATTAAAATTAAAAATAAAAGAATTAGAATTGAGATATCAAAAAAAAATTAATATTTTTAGTTTATAATATAATAGTAATAGTTAGTATATAAAATTTAAATTAAAAATTATGTGTACTAATTAATAAATTTATTATTAAAATAAAAAAATCATATAAGTTCCTTTTAAACTCACTTTTTATATATATAATTTATTTATTTTAATAATAATTTGTATATATATTATATTGTATAATATATGTACACTGTCACGATAGTTTCGTGGCTTCAAATAAAATCTCAAAAGGGGTAAATAAAACTAAGACAATTACTCAAGGAATCAC